GACTTATCGCTAATTGAGCTGGTTGTGGATATTAGGACGCTAACTACCTTCAATAGATGGCGTCTCTCCTATTTTTCTATCTCAGTGGCTAACGTGCTTCCCAAAAGTCAGAGTACTATATAAACGGAATAGTAGCTCATGCGTTACGGTTGCCACCTTTCAGGTGGTCCAATTACAGTACACAGATTTGCTGTTTCTTCTTTTTGTTTCTTTATTTTACGTCATGCAGTACTGCTGCTGCTGCCAACAATTGTCATGTGACTACAGATTTCCCAGGTAAACAATCTGTTTCCCTCAATGCTTCGTCAGGTCGCTTTATACTTGGATCCCATGCTCTGTGTCTCCTACTCAGAATTAATCATGTATTTTCTTGGTATGAGAGCCAGCAGATGCCAAGAAAATACAAGATTAATTCTGAGTAGGAGATGTAGAGCATGGGCTCCAAGTATAAAACGACCTGACGAAGCATTGAGGGAAACAGATTGTTTACCTGGGGAATCTGTAGTCGCATGACAAGTGCTGGAAGCAGCAGCAGCAGCACTGCATGACGTAAAATAAAGAAACAAAAAGAAGCAGCAGCAAATTTGTGGACTGTAATTGGACTTGAATCACTTTTTCCACAGTGAACATTGGTGGAGTGCAACCTTTCAGGTAATGGCTGGAGATCTCCTGGGATTACAAATGATCTCCAGGCAACAGAGATCAGTTTTCCTGGAGAAAATTGCTGCTGTGGAAGGTGGATTCTATGGCCAAACTCCATCCTCCACCCCCAAAATCTCCAGGAACTTCCCAACTCGGAGCTGGCAACCCTGTCTTGCATGTTGGTAGACACTTTTTAAGAAACAAACATACGTACACACAAACCCAGACCTTCAAACACATGGCAAATAATAAGAGATCACATCTTACTGTCGTAGTGAGGGGAAACGACAGTTTCTCCTGCACTGGAGTCTTCATGATTTCCCATGATGTGGCTGTTAGCAAGATTGTGCATATTTCATGAGGGGGCTAACAGTGAATTGCCTGCATTTGGCCCACAAGATGCACCGCCCCGACTGCATGGCAGCTCACGGTCCATCCATCTGGATGCCAAGCTGTCTTCCAGAACTGGGTCTGTTTCAGGGAAGAAGGGACGGTTCGTGGCGCAGTTTGGACAGCTTGGCTGGATTGGAAAGTGCCACCTAGGCATCCAGCCAGCATCTGCGCTCTTCAGTTTCAACAAGTAGCTTTCTGGAGGACTGCAAAATAAAGCCCCGGGGGAGGGGAGGGGAGGGGGGGAGGCAGCTTCTCCAAAACTGCTGTCGGATTGCCCCTGTTTAATGTTTCTGTTGTTCTGAAACTGTAGACTATTTATTTGCTTGTCTGAGCATTTATGCCTCGCCTTCCTCTGTGGCTCAAGGTGGCTGACAATACATAGATAAAAACATCCGAGTTACAATAAAGCCCCAGTTCACCACCTCCAATCTAATAAAATGACTGCCCCTCACGTTCCCTTAGAAGCTCTGGCAAATAAGTTGCCAGGGATGGTGCCTCCTTCATCTCCGTGGAGAATCCGCTCTCTAAAGTGGGAGCGGCCACAGAGAAAATGTGGGCCTGAGCTGATGTCAGGTGGTCAGCTTAAGGGGGGAAACAACCAAAATAGGCATGCTGAAGACTAGGTGGTACATGGGGGTATATGGGGAGAGACAGTCCTTTAGATAGAGAGCCAGTGTGGTGTAGTGGTTATGTGCGTCGGACTTGTTGTATCTGGGAGACCTGGGTTCTAATCCCCACTTGTGGCTTGGAAGCTTTCTGGGTGACCTCAGGCCAGTCACACTCTCCCAGCTTAACCTACTGCACAGGGTAGTTATGAGGATAAAAGGGAGGAGAGGAGAATGATGTATACCATCTTGTGCCCCCATTGAGGAGAAAAGCGGGGGGTGTAAATGAAATGAATAGGTGGGTCCCAGGATGCGAAGGGCATTAAAAGTCAGAAACAGCATCTTGCATTGAATTTGGAAATCACGTGGCAGCCAGTGAAGCTCCTTTAAACTAGACAAGGCCACGACTGCCACATTTTAGACCAGCTGCGATTTCCAGGTTGTTTTCAAGGGCAGGCCAAGGCAGAGCATGTTACAGTAGTCCAACCAATACGGTATCATCATGAATTGCAGCAAAGGTAATCTCTGCTGATGTAACTGGCCTCATGACCGCTTGAACTACTGTACACTGATCCAGGGGTAGGCAACTCCCAGCATGTGTGCTGGCAGTGGCACCCCTGGTAATTCTGCATGGCATCCATGGCTCGATCTCTCTGCCCGAGCAGCTGAGGCACTGGCAGCACTACTGGGGCCGACAGTGCAGGAGAAGGCAGCAGACATGGCCCGTCTGTCGGCTCCGAGACCTGCACAGCCAGCAGCCAAGTCTAAGGTGGTTTCCTTGGATGCTGGCAGTGCTGCCGGTGCTTGGCTTACTCCAGATGTGTCTGGCCAAGCACAACCCTTGTCTCCCATCCCTGTTTTGTTTATTGGCACACCAGCGTCATCTCAGGTAGCTGCTGTATTTGTGGGGGGCACTTAGGCCCAGCAGGTTGCCTACTCCTGGACTAATTGGGTTGGCGAAGAGGAGAATACAGAGGAATCAAAATACAGACGCCGGATGGTACAAGATCTTGCAGACGCATACCTGAAAAGGGAGAAGCTTAAACTTTCTAATGGAAGCCAGCGGAGCGATCAATAAGCTTTGCATGATGTAAAAACGTGATGCACTCCGTGCTTTAATAGCGTTAGCCGAAAAGAAAGGTCTTTTTTGCTCTGAGAAATTTTGAGCAATGTCTAAGAGTGAGCAAGATACTGGGGGGGGGGGGAATAGGGTTGCCACTTTCCCCCCTGGACACTGACAGGGGATGGGACGTAGGGTTGCCAGCAATATTCCCTCTAAGCTGTGGAGTCTTGTGAGCAAAAATTCTCCTTTGTGAGCTGCTGGCATTAAAGTTGTGAGCGAGTGATTTGGCTACTGCATCAGTTAGCTTGCTCTGGAGCCCTCCTTCCTGAGCTCAGACAGAAATGTGTGAGCTGGAGGCTAAAATTCTGTGAGCTAGCTCACACTAACTCAGCTTAGAGGGAACACTGGTTGCCAGATCCAGGTTGGGAAACTCCTCAAGATTTGGGGATGGAGCCTGGGGAGGAGAGGGACTTCAGTGGGGTACAGTGCCATAGAATCAACCTCCCAAAGCATCCACTTTCTCCAAGGGAAACTGATCTCTCTTGTCTGGAGATGGGCTGTAATTCCGAGGGATTCCCCAGGTCCCACCTGGAGGCTGGCATCCCTAGGGAACAAAGGAGATAAAACTGCCCCAGGGCCCAGGTTGCCAACTGCTCAGGGGGGGGGGGAAGTCCTGTCCCTTTAATAGAGGTTGGATATTCAGAATCTGCCACTGAAGCTTTTCACAGCATGGAGGCGATCTAATCAAATTAATACTGAAGGGTCACCTAGGAGAACCAGCTCTATAGTCGGTAAGCTGGACCCCACAAGACCCAGGGTCCCCCAACATGTTGGTTCTTATTGCCTAAGGTTAATAGAGGTTGTGTTCCTCTGACCTTTCACCTTTTGACGTTCAGAATAGTAGCTCACTGAGTCAAACAGGAAACCTATTTAGGGAATTGGCACTCCTGGTTATTAATGCATTGATCATCGTCAAGTGCTACAAACTAAACTTTACTTTTTAGGTTGCTGTTCCAGGTGCTTAGATATGCTGTGTGGTCTGCTGACATCATTGTGGGGGAGGGATGCAGGGGGAAGACCCTAAGACCCCAGCTAAATATAACAGCAGTGAAAGGAGGAAAGAGGGCAGATATCAGCAGACCCGGCGATGAAGAGTACGGGTCAGGCAAAAGATGAATGGTAAACGTGGAGTCTGACAAAGGATCCAAGTTTCAGCCTAACTTATCCTGTGTGGTTACTGGAAGGATACAAAACAGTTGGATAAGGCAGGGGAGGTAGTCCTGGGTTCTTTGGAAGAACGGCGGGTATAAATATACAACCAACATCATCCATATGCAAAGAGGTGAGGTCTGAGGTGGCAGAACCCATTGGGTTTGATCCAGCGCATTGTTTCCACTCATGTAAGGACTTCCACTTGCAAAGTACAGATTTCTTGGCTCCCCCTCCCCTGTCAGCCCGAAATGTCCTCGGTTTGGGGGGGTGGCATTTCAGGCTTCTGCAGGAGTGGGGGACCCGAGAAAGTTGTGCTCTGCAGGTAAAAGTCCTTGTCTCTGGGCCAATCCCAAAATCCTATCTGTGAATCTAATTTTTCCTATTTGCTTTAAAACTGTGCTCTAAAGTGAAGTCAGAGAAACTGCACAGATAAAGCGCAGATAAATGAAAGCTAAAGCACACACACACCCCGCCTGCACACACACACACATCTCTCATGGCCCAGGGCAGGGTAGGTAAGCCGCTAAGCACTTAATGACTTCGGGTTTGACTGTGCTCCCCTCTCCTGCATATCTGAGATTTGCCTTCTACCCTGCTGGGACATCATACCAGCTGTCAGAGATAGGAGACGGCAGGATGCCTTGACGCCCAGGGGACGTGGATAGAGGCTGCCACTCAGGAGTGCGAGTCTGAGACAGTGATAGATCCAGGTGGGAAGGAGTGGGCGGAGTGAAGCGCACAGTGGTAGAGTGCTCCTAATTACCCCGGGGGAGTTGGATGTCTCTGGCCTCGGGTGCTGGTAATGAGGAATGCCACTCTTTGCGGCTACAGTTCCTCTCATTGATGCTGCTTCTGAAACTACCATCCAACCTAGTCCTAAATCAACTGTGAAAGGAGAAGTCTCTGTGGTCTTTATTCCCAAATGAGATTAGACACAGTGTGTCCAAGATCTTGGGGATTCTCAGACCGTGCCTTCTCCCTCCCATGGCTCTTCATTTAGCCTCACAGTCCATTTGCTGCTAATGTCTACCACCTGACCATTTTATTTGTGGAATGGTAAGTTTTATGTGCCTCCTGAATAGGGGATGGAACTCACCAGGAGCCCGGGAGAGAGTCGCAAACAGATCAACATGACAGCAGAGCAGTGCCAGGCTGCATCTCAGCAGTGCTTTCTGGGTAAAAGGATGGCATCCATCTTCACAGGGAAAATGTCCCCCTCATGGTCACAATTGGGCGTCTCCATGTGGTTGCCAGCCATTAAAAGTCACAATGATGCCGTGCAAGGAAATTGCGGGGAAATGGCTCCTGCGGGGCTGCTGTGAAGATTAAAGGCGGCCTGAGTTTTGTAGGGTTTCCAGTTGGGGGAAGAAAGCTGGCACAGAACTTCTGTCAGGAGCTGGAAGGAGCACGGCCAAGAAGGCATCCCTGATAAGCTCCCACCTCAGAGGGACTAGAGAGGAGGAGGAGGGAAGGGGTGACTAGAGAACCCCCCCTCCTCCACAGTGAGATGGTCATAGCTGAACTGACCTTGCTGCTGTTCCAATCGAGACACAGACGTCAAGGAGCCATGGAATGCAGCCAGCATCCTTTCCCGAGGGTTGTTTCACACACTCATTTTTTTGCTCTATAAATACACATTTCTTCTTCATTTGCAGGTGTCCTCTTGAGCAGAGGACATCTGCTAAGTCCATTTGGGCTTGGAAGGGCGTAACGCTGCTTAGGATGACACTGTAAAAGTCGTACGGCCCTAAAGTGGGAAGGGTCACCATGGGCCACCCAGTCTAACTCTGCTCAGTGCGGGAAACCCAAAACTAGAGCCTCCCCCATGGCTGCCCAGCCTCAGCTTAAGAACCTCCCGCAAAGGAGAGCCTGCTGCCACCCTAGGCCACTGGTTCCATTGCGTGACTCGTCTTAGCATTAGGAAGTTTCTCGTCACGTTTAACTGAAGTCTGCTCAATTGTAATAATATCTCGTCTTGCCTTCTCCAGCAACAGAGAACAACATGGGGTCTGGCCATGACTCAGCGGCAGAACATCTGCTTGGCGCACAGAATGTCCCAGGTTCAGTCCCCAGTATCTCCCGTTGAAAGGATCAGCAAGCAGGTGGTGTGAAAAAGCTCTTCCTGAGACCCTGGAGAGCTGCTGCCAGTCTGAATAGACAATAATGACCTTGAAGGGCCAGTGGTCTGAATCAGTAGAAGGCGGCTTCATGTATTCAAGTCTTCTCCCTTTTCCATGTGATAGCTCTTCCACTGTTTGTCAAGTCTTCCCATAGTCTTCTCTTTTCCAGGCTAAACACACCCAGTTTCTTCCCCCTTTACTTGTAGTTAAGCAAGTATAAAGCCAACAGTCCTGATAGTCTTTTTTCCATGTGACAGCTCTTCCACTGCTTGTCAAATCTTCTCTTTTCCAGGCTAAACATACCCAGTTTCTTCCCCCTTTACTTGTAGGACAGCTTGTCCAGATCCACCTCTCGCTTTTTGAACACACAACCTATGTCGCTTGTCTGAATTTCACACTTCCGATTGGCTCATTAGCACAGATTGATAAATGATCCCACCAATCAAGAGCCAGTGCCACCATCTTGCCTTTCTCTTGGAATGGCAGGCAACCACATACTTCTGTATAAACCTGCTTGTAGCCCACATCCAGTGACTATATGTCAGCTTGTTGTTGTCGAGGGGAGACGTTTGGATCGTGGGTCTTATCCAGTGCGACGTTATGAAGCTCTCCGGCCTGGATTCCCCTCAGAGATGCCGTTTGAGAGTTCATACACACTCTCTTTCAGCCATGTGTACTGCTAGACGAGTACGAGTTACATCACTCCTCTCCGTCTTTCTCGCAGTCTCCACATTCCCCTCCTCCCTGGGTACACCTGATGGCCATTTTATTTGCTTCATTTACATCACACTGTGAACCCACCACCCAAGCCTTAAAGTGACTCCACCAACAATCTGATTTCTCTTTTAGTTCTTCAGGGCATCTTGATTTCCCATCCTTCCTTCCATCTGTCACATTGTTGTCGACGGGCCCAATCACTCCCACGCCCCCTTCTTCCCCCTTTTGAAGCCCCATCACCCCATTGAGGTCTACAGGCCAATACTCCTGACCCTCCCGGGAACGGTCGGGGTCCCGCAGGCCTATTTCCCCTCGAACAGTGGGGGTAACTCCCAGTGTAGTCGGGAGGGGGCTGAGAGCGACATCCAGTGACTATACTTCCCAGAGTCCAGTGTGTTGGGGTAAAGAAGCATGCAATGCTCTGAGTTCTGTAGGATTTCCAGTTTCATTGATCTGCTGAGAGGTGCAGTTATTTCTCTCCCCCCCCCAGAAAACTTCATTTGGTTTTCTTCCATTTGTTCTTAAAGCATATCACTTGTGGCATACTTGGCTCATTTTCCTAGGTTCGATTAGTGCATGTTGCTGTTAATCCGATACTCAGTGTTGTGGCCCAGGACTGAGAGAGATGACCTTTGAGTTCATTCCACTTTGACTTCCCCTTCAACTCTCGTTTGCATTGTCCTTGCAGTTGGCTCGCCAAGGAGCCCCGTTAGCAAGACCACCTTGACCCTCATTAGCATCACTAGCTGTGTCATTGGCCTGGTGTGCGCGTCCCACGTGAACTGCCCGCTGGTGGTCAAGATAACATTGCACGTTCCAGAGCACCTGATTGCTGACGGTAAGCGAACACTTTATATGTCACCCTGCCTCTTCTTCTCTGGGGTCAACCACTGTACCAGGGGTGGTGGTGGAGAGTAGTTGGGCGTGGGCAGTCTCCTCTTGAGCAAATTGGCATACTTGAAACCTTGTGTTTGTGTGTCGGGACTGGGAAGGATTGGGACCAGAGAACAGATCAGTTCACAAAGGTGACTGAAGCCCCCATTGACCAATCAGCAATCTTTCACCAATGGGTTGGCAGCCTCAGGCATGTCATGTATGTGAGGCTTTTTAGAGACATCTCCCCCCCCCCCATTTTTTTGGTAGAACCCACCTGACAGAGTATGTATGTAACACACTGAATGTAGAAAGACAGTCTATAAGCTCCTAAGTATTGTGTTCTCCACAGAGGTTGTCAGCGTGGTGTAGTGGTTAAGAGCGGCGGACTCTAATCTGGAGAACCAGGTTTGATTCCCCACTCCATATGAGGTAACCTTGGGCCAGTCACAGTTCTCTCAGAACTCTCCCAGCCCCACCTACCTCACAAGGTGACTGTTGTAAGGAGAGGAAGGGAAGGTCATTGTAAACTGCTTTGAGACTCCTTACGTTAGAGAAAAGCTGGGTATAAAAAACCAATTCTTCTTCTTGTTACCCCTGAATGCCAGTGTGGCGTAGTGGTTAAGAGTGTGGACTCTAATCTGGAGAACCGGGTTGGATTCCCCACTCCTCCACATGCAGCCAGCTGGGTGACCTTGGGCCAGTTGCAGTTCTCTCAGAACTCTGTCAGCCCCACCACCTTACAAGGTGCATGTTGTGGGGAGAGGAAGAGAAGGTGATCGTAAGCCACTCTGAGACTCCTTAGGGTAGAGAAAAGCAGGGTACAAAAACCTACCCTATTTCCCCAAAAATAAGACAGTGTCTTATGTTCATTTTTGCTCCCAAAGATGCGCTAGGTCTTATTTTCGAGGATGTCTTATTTTTCCATGAAGAAGAATACAGTACACTCCGTCAGGGCAGAGCGAGCAGCAGGCAGCAGCTTGTCCTGGTGGCGTGGGCTCTCTGATTAAAAGAGACCTCACACTTCCTGTCTGCTCCGGCTGCGCAGCGGCCAACTGTGAGCTGTGCGGCGGCGCCTGCCGCTACGGCCCTGAGTCCAGAGTCACAGTAGCTTCGGGGGGCCTTATTATCGGGGAGGCCTTATGTTCGGGGGAGGCCTTATTATCGGGGAGTTCCTATTTTCGGGGGATGTCTCTTTCAGCGAGAGGCAAAACTGTAAGTAGGTCTTATTTTCGGGGGATGTCTTACTTTCGGGAAAACAGGGCAGTCATTATTATTCTTTGGTGTTCCCTTAACATTTTCCATAACTCTCTTCAGTCCGCCAGGATTTGAAAGTCTGGTTACTTCTTCAGGAGAAATCTGAATGGAAAGTGCAGATTTTCAGTCCCAGGGTAACAGCCTCCTCTGTGCTTAGGTGCTTGCTGAGGGGAGAATACGGCTTATGGGTCAGAGACCCCCCTTGGATTCCTATTTTAATGCTGCCTGTGCCTTCCCAGACTGCAGGAACAAATGCTCTCCTGTGAAAACACTGAGCCATGTGCCTCTCCCTCTGCCAAGCCTAGGCCCCCTCACCTTCTGTTTGCAGAGGGGTAGGCAGAGAAGAGGCTCAGTAACACGGAACACACTCGAGTTACCTCATCAGTCAACAGCCTGTAAGAGCGTCAGCTGAGGAACCCAAGAGTGAGGCAGTAAGGGCATTTCTGAGGTAAAGGAAACTTGTTTGTACCACAAGTGAGGAAGCTGAAACGGTTGGCTGCTGCTCTACACACGCACACACATGTCCTCTCCACACGAAAAAAAGGTAGACATAAGTGAAGAAGAAGAAGAAGAAGAAGAAGAAGAAGAAGAAGAAGAAGAAGAAGAGACTGGATTTATACCCCGCCCTTCACTTGGAGTCTCAGAGCGGCTTACAAACTCCTTTCCCTTCCCCTCCCCACAACAGACACCCTGTGAGGTGGGTGGGGCTGGGAGAGCTCTGACACAAACTGCCCTGTTTCAAGGACAGCTGTGCCAGAGCTTGTGACTGACCCAAGGTCACATCAGCAGCTGCATGTGGAGGAGTGGGGAATCAAACCCGGTTCTCCCAGATGAGTCTGCACACTTAACCACTGCACCAAACTGGCTTTAACCTTGGTTTCTTCTGGGCATGCTAGCTTTCTGTGTGTAGTGAATTCTTTGGTACAGAGGAACAGTCTTTCTTGTGAGCGGCCACTTGCTGCCTCATGTGCTACAGACCAGAAACAGGTTTCCGTCTCAATGAGAACTGGGCCAGTAAGGGGAGCGAGAGGTTTCCCGAGAACGACGTTTTGGTTGTCTGGGGTGGCACCCAGGAAGGTGGGATCTAGTGATGAACAGCAGCTTTATGGAGACGGGGACTGAGAGACAGAATTCAAAGTGACTTTGAGAATCCCCGTTCTCTCCTATGGCAGCTTTCTTGGTAACAAGTTTACATCTTTCCATTCCCTGGAAGTCCCAACTCCACTGTGATCACAGGATCATGGGGACGGCTTTCTCATTTTCACTTCCAGGGAGGAGCCTGTGCTCTGATCAGGTCGTTGCCCAAACAGCCAGTGTGGTCTGGCGCTTAGAGTGCTGGACTAAGATCTGGGAAATCCAGAGGTCAGATCTCCACTTAGTCATGAAGCTCACTAGGTGAGCTTAGCACACTCTTGCTGCCTAGCCTACCTCACAGGGTCGTTGTGATGATAAAATGGAGGGGGGGGAAGATGCGTATATGCCACTCTGAACTCTTTGGAGGAAAGAGAGAGATGGGGAGGGGCAACAGTGGGAGGGCTTCTAGTGTCCTGGCCCCACTGCTGGACGTCCTGATGGCACCTGGTATTTTTGGCCACTGTGTGACAGAGTGTTAGACTAGATGGGCCATTGGCCTGATCCAACATTGGCTTCTCTTATGTTCCTATGAGAGGATGAAAGGGAGGCAACATTTCTTAGTCACTTGGCTGTTTTCCGTAGGTATCAGGGAACAAAGTACTTACTCCTAACTCACAAAACAATCCCATTGTCTCTTTAATGCCAGTTCCTGCAGTGAGCTGGGTTTTTCCAAAACACCAGACAATGACTACAGACATACGGCCTCCACGCTGGCAGAGAGGCTTCCAAAAGTGAATTTGTGAATGTGCCCTATTTTGCAGAAATTCAAAGAACAAATAACGTCCTTGAGAGGAAAATAATGGGTTTTAAAGTGGTTTGGAGCAGAGAACTCTTTAACAGTGCAGTCCTGAGCAGAATTAACGCCCTTCTAAGTGCATTGAAGTCAGTGGGCTTAGAAGGGCGTATCTCTGCTCAGGATGGCACTGCTAGGAGTGTTTTCAGCCGCAGATGATAGTTAAAGTGGTTGTCCTGAATGAGAAACCTGCCTTGTTCTTTTGCTTCCTCTTCTGCATTTGCAGTGATCAGACACTCACATAAACAGCAACGGGGGCGATCAGAGATGATTGAGGCTTCACACATGGAAGCATCCTATATTGCAGGACTTCCCCCTACCCCCAAATGTTACGTTTTGTTTACTGTGCAGGCAGCCGATTTATCCTGCTGGAGGGAAGCCAGTTAGATGCCAGCGACTGGCTCAATCCTGCCCAGGTGGTCCTTTTCTCCCAGCAGAACTCCAGTGGCCCCTGGGCCTTGGACCTGTGCGCCCGACGGCTTCTTGACCCCTGCGAACACGAGTGTGACCCCGACACCGGTAGGTGGGCATGGGAGGAATGTTCACCCTATCCTAGTGGGACAAGAGGGATTGTTTCTCCATACGGGGCAATCAAGAGAACCCCATCCAAGTCCTGCACAAGTGTGGATGGGAAATACCCGCTGTGCAGAGGACCTTTACAGATCTCTCAGTTCCTCTCTTGATTCCCGTGTGTGTGTGTGTGGGGAGAGCACGGAGCCTGTGAAGCTATCTTATGTGGAGTCAGGCCATTGGTCATTTTTATCCAGTATGATCTGCTTGGATTGGCTGTAGCTCTCATCTGCTGTCTGCAATCCCTTTTGGGATGTACTAAAACAAATGACAGGAATGCACATCGGGAACCATGGGGGATGCCTGAAGGTCTGGAAGGTAGGTACTCATTGGCACTAATTCACTTGCATAGGTCCACTGAAACACACAGAAAAGTTGCAATGAAAATGTGGAATGGGTTACAAGAAGCCCGCCCTGGGACTGGAATGACAGCCCCTGGAGTGGAATGACAGTCCTTGGGACTCGAATCGGTACTCTGGAGGCTGTCCTTCCAGTCCCGGAGCACTGACTCCATCCCCATGGACTGCTATTCCACTGTGGTGGCTGTCATTCCAGGCCCAGGACAGGTTTCTCATAATACATTCCACATTTTCTGTGCAACTTAAGCGTGCTGCAATGTAATCCAGTGGAGCCTGTGCAGGTCAATTGCTGTTCCTGACTCCCATGACATTCAGTCGGCCTTCAGCTATCTCCCATTGTTCCTAAAAAATATGTTTCAGTGCGTCATGTCCTCTGACTGGGATTGGACCCAGGATCTTATGCATGCATGCCAACAAACAAACAAACAAACAAGAGAACTGAGTTAGGAGAGCCTGGCTGTGTCTTTAAAAAAACTGCTGCATCCTCCTTTAAGAAGTGCAGCTCCAGGGTGACGGGGAATTGCACTTGAGGAGTCCGGAGGAGTCTTGTGTTCTCCCAGCACACACATCTCCGTGAGCATCTAATCCTTCCTTTGCAACCCTGACTCACTTCTTCACCCAGGTCCTCATTCCACGGTGGAGCCGTAATGCAGGACCATCTGCCATGGCAGCTGTCAGCCCCAGCAGGCCTCGCAGAAGGGAGGGCGTTCAGCACCCTCGGGGGGGGGGGCGCTTTCCAACTTCACAGGTTTTTGTCAGCATTGTGGGGAGGGTGGGGGTTGAAAAATCCGTGAGATTGGTTGTGTTTTTTTGTTTTGTTTTTCTACAAGAGCTTCTGTTGTGCCTTTTGTGCTTTTGGCTGTATTCTGACGTGATTTTCTTTCGTTCTGTTTTTTTGCACGGTCCCCGGCAGTGTTCCCTCTAAGCTGAGTTAGCGTGAGCTAGCTCACAGTTTTTTTAGTCTCCAGCTCACAGATTTTCGTTTTGGCTCAGGAAGGAGGGCTCCAGAGCAAACTAATTTGTGCAGCAGCCAAATCGCCTGCTCGCAACTTTAACGCCGGTAGCTCACAAAGTAGAATTTTTGCTCACAGGACTCCACAGCTTAGAGGGAGCATTGGTCCCCGGCATGTTTTCAGCAAAGTTTAGCCCTGCAAGTTTGATTTGCACCCCAGAGCGCACAGCCAGATCTCCCACGTGCGAAGGCAGTGCCTGGTTCTCTGTGCTGTTATCCAGGAAGAAACTGATGGCTGTGTGCTCTCCTGGCTTTAATCAGGAGCCAGGCACCGGCTTCTTGCCCCTTGCTCTGCCAAGACGGCTTTGGGGAGGGGACGGATTGAGGGGGAGAATGGCTGGAGAGGCTTTTCAAGCCAGACAGAAACTTCTGAGCTGTGCTTTCAAGAATGTGGAGGGCTTTGGACACCTTCCGAGATTGATTCTGCCTTCTGGGCCCCTCCCCTACCAACCATCTGTTCCATAGTGGACCATGAGAAATCCTTGCACAAACTCCTGTATGCACACAGCCCGCTATTGTGTGCAAAGTTCTGTCAGGTGAGGCTCTAATCCAACACTGGCGTTAGAAAGGGGACAAGAGCGAGATAGCTCTCTCCCCTCTTGAGACCACCTTCAGGTCAGCGCTGGTTTGCATCCTACTAGTCAAGTTGGAAGCCTTTCTCTGGCCCAAGGAGTCTTGTTCCAACAAAAGAGCATGGCCGAGCGGAGCGGAAGAATAGCTGCCGCCCTAAAACCAGAGCAGGAAGTCTTCCTAAATCAGGTTGCGGTGATGGGGCAAGTGGGATCATTTAAAGCGGGGAGGGATTGTGTCTCAGTGGAAGGGACTCTGTTTTATTTATTTATTTATCATTTGTATTTATAGCCTGCCCATCCCATAAGCGGGCTCAGAGCGGGGAACGTCATCAAAACAGTACAATAGATACAATTAAAATCAAACAAGTTAGGAATTCAAACAGTAATAAACCTTAAAATTCAATCACACTTCTGACAGCCACTGGTTTTATGGTTCTTTGGCATATTATTTGGGTCAATAGATGGATAGGTGGCAGCCACCTCAGGGAGGCCATATAAAGACGTCTGCCGCAGGTGGAACATCCCAGGTTCAGTCCCCGGCATCTCCACTTAGAAGCACCAAGCAGTAGGTGATGTGGAAGACCTTGGCCAGAGACCCTGGAGAGCTACTGCCCGTCCGAGAAGATATTCTGACCTTGATGTACCAAAGATCTGATTCAGTATAAGGCAGTTTCATGTGTGTGCACTTGGGGTGGGGGGTTGGTCAGTGGTGGTAGAACATCTGCTTGGCACGCAGGAGGTCCAAGGTTCAATTCCTGGCATCTCCAATAAGGATCAGGTTGTAGGTGAAGTGAAGGACACATGACCACATGCCAAGCAGATGCTCGACCCTGAGCCACAGCCATTCGCTCAGCTCGAGACCCTGGAGAGCCGCTGTCAGTCTGAGTAGACCCTACTGACCTTGGTGGTACAAGGCAGCTTCATGTGTTCACGTGTTATTAAAAATACTTATATCCCATTTGTCTCAAGATCAACATGACCTGATTTCAGGCATGTTAAGTCTGCCGACGTCTCCATTAGGGCTGGATGAAGAGGTTATGTGGGCTAAATGGGATGTGCCGTGACTGCAAAAATAAGTGACCTCGAAACTGGTACAAATTGGTCCGAATCAACTAAGGACCACCTACAGAGACAAGAGACTTAAGAAGTCGGTTTCACTGGAAAATTCCTAGTTACATGAATACATGAGACTGTCTTATACTGAAACAGACACATGTTCCATCAGAGTCAGTGTTGTCTACTCAGACTGGCAGCGGCTCTCTGGGCCCTCAGGCAGGGGTCTTTCCCATCACCTACAACCTGACCCTTTCCACTGGAGATGCCGGGGATTGAACCTCAGACCTTCTGCATGCCAAGCAGATGCTCTGCCAGTGAGCCACGGTCCCTCCCCAACTGTAGCTGCCAATCAGGGTGTGACAGCTTTCAGGTTTGCAGTGCTAAAGAGCAGATCTAACTGCTTATAGTCCAAATCGTGAGACCATGTGAAGAACAGGTGGTGAGAGATACAAGAAACATTATCCATCTCCCAAGAGTTATTGCAAGGATGGTTGAAACATAAACTTAGATCCAACATGGCAACAGGTTTACCTATAGAGTTTGCCACAGATGCTCTGAGCCAGCATCAAAGAAGAATACACCCTCTAAATGTTGCTCGCTGTGTTTTATGCTTCAGATGGGTAGCTGAAGCAATTAACACCAGAAGTATATTCCTCTGTATCGATTTTCATACCTCAATAAGTTTGTCTCCTTTGACTACATCCAGGTGTAGTCCTGGTGGAGGTTTTCCTGCCCTAAGTGAAAAAAAGGAACAAGTTTTGTTTAGGAATGGTTGAAAGTAGCCTTTGTAATCCCTGTATCTAAAGTTACTATGACAACAAAAAAACTTCTTTCTTGACTGGCAGGCATTTCAGCTCTCACTCCTGCTTTTCATTATGAGATAAAATAGTAACTATTTAAGCTCCCCCACCCCGCAATGTTTACTTATACCCTGCCTTTCTCCGGGAGACTCAAGGTGGATTACAAAATATTTTTAAAAATGCAATAAGAAAACACAAGAGATCTAGGAAATGGGCCACTTGGAGTCCAGGGAAAGCATGCAGCCAGCAGCCACCCCTCTCCCTCACATCTTGCAAGATTTAAAGGGCCCGCCGATCAGCTGGAGGGCCCTTTAAATCTTGGAGGAAGGGAGGGAGAGGGGCAGCTGTAAGATTTAAAGGGCCCTCCAGCTGATCAGCGGGCCACATGCTCCTGCTGATCAGCTGGAGGGTCCTTTTCATGTCACAGCAGGGGACGGAGGTGCAGAGGGGCAGCAGCTGTTGTAGGGTGTGTCTCACATTTGAGGGGGCGGAGCCCTGAAATGCCCCACTTTAGCTATGGGCCTGGGCCCCTTTCCATAGTTTAAGTTCTAATTGTGCATGCTTATTTGGGGGGGGGGCTATGTCATGTATCAGTGAAAACCAGCTGCAATCTCAATTCACATAAATATAAGTAAAAAAAGGAGCCGACCATAACCTTTACTTGTGAGCCTTCAAAAGTGTGTTGGAAAAGCTCCACTTTACAGCACCTCTGAAATCTTTGCAAGTTTGAGGCCTTCCCCCTATCCCGGGGAAGTCGGTAGCATGAAACTAGAGCAAGCCTGAGCAGAAACAGACCTCAGTGACCTGAGGGGACCCTTGGTCTGGTGGTCAGAACTGCCTTGTGGGCACGTATTGATGGAAGTGGTTCCACCCATACATGGGTCCCAGGCCGTGAAAGGCTTTAAAGGTTAACCTCCGCATCTTGGGTGAGCAGGATTAGCAATCATCTCTTCCAAATCTCATTTGAGATCCATTGAGGATTCTTGGCTAGAGGACAGTCGATCCCACCCACATTTTAGCAGGGGTGGGGAGGAAGACAACAGAACTGCTCTTGAGAACCACTTTTTTGAAGAGCCCTCCTAATTAGGGAGTCCAAAAATCAGGAAGAATGAAATCTGGCCTCCTCCCTCAAGCCAGTTTGGTGAAGTGGTTAAGAGCGGCAAACTCTAATTTGGAGGACTGGGTTTGATTCCCCACTCCTCTGCATGCAGCCAGCTGGGTGACCTTGGGCCAGTCACAGTTCTCTCAGAGCTGTTCTCTCAAGAGCAGTTCTCTCAGAGTTCTCTCATCCCCCACCTACCTCACAGGGTGTCTGTGGTGGGGAGAGGAAGGGAAGGAGATTGTAAACTGCTCTGAGTCTCTTGAGAGAAGGGCAAGGTATAAATCCAATCTCCTCCTCCTCCTCCTCCTCCTCCTCCTCCTCCAGGTCTGCTGCTGCTGTTCATTCTGAGTCATAGGTTGCCTAAGGAAACCTTTGGCCTTTTTCATATTGTGCCCCCCTGACAAATACTGCCAGCCTCCGCTTGTATCAGGCTCACCTTGCTTCCTGGGAACTTGGAAGAGAAGACAGTACTCAGACACTGGTACTTAGTCTGTCTCGTTGATTGTGTCATGTCAGGTCATTGGCTGTTTTTCAGCCTTCCGCCTGTGCCTTTAGAGGCAGCCTGACGCAGAGAGATTAAGTAGAGCTGCGACTCCAGGCTGGCAAAAAGTCTCGTGTCTGAAATGTCTGCATTCCAAAGTGCTCTAAAAAGTGGAGGGGAAAAGGCCCTGGGTGTGTGTGACCACATCACCTCTTCCCGGCTGCACTTAGATGTCACCCACAAATCGGCGCTTGTTCGCAACAAGTACAAACTCAGTTTGCTGCCGTGGTACAAGGCAGCCCTTCTTCCCTCCCACAAGCAGAAGGCAGTTGAAGGCACACTGGTTTCAGAAGCAGGACTCACATCTCCACTTTGCCACAGTGCCTGGATGCATCTGTGTTTCTCCACACCAGCTGGGGTTCTAAACCACAGGTGGATTCCAGTTTACAGTCAGTTTGTGGGGAGGACAAAAAAACCTCTAATTTGCCCAGGCACTGTGGCTAGGGCTCATCACAGCTGACCGGAGATTGAATGAAGGCTTCTGAAACCAGGAAGCCTTGGATGGTCTTCTGATCCTGAAGGTGTTGGAAATTCCAGATGTGATGTCTCCTGTCTCAGACCTCTAGACTGAGTGGTGAGAGAGGCTAGATAGCTAGACAGGCACACTGACCTTTCTTCCTGTCTCTGGTCTTCTGCCACTGTCTCCTTTGAAATGCAGATTGTACTCTCAGGGACAATTTCCCCTTCCTTCTTCTTTCTCAGTCTGATGAGGACGATCACTCCCCCTGCACGCACCAAGAGAGAGACATGTGGTCCTCTCTTGGCACCATAAGGCAGATGGGCCTCCCGCCATCTGCCTCCATCCTAGTAAGTTAGTACTCTATCATATCTCTGCTCTTTCCTATCCAAAGTGTACTTCTCAAATAAGGAGAGAAGTATTTCTCTTCTAAACTTGCAACATGGCTCTGTGTAGATTTGTAAGCTGAGTAACCTGGTAAAGTGACGCTGCTGCGTTTGTAGCTTTATTTAAGCTCTCTGCTAACTAACGGTGACTGGACTAACCACACAGGTTAACCTCAATAGAAGGAAGGTGGTAAAGGAGCACATGAATTTGACAGTAAACTGTGTTTGTGTCCATAGTGTACAAACAGAGGCCCATTTATGACGTATGAAAGCAGTTACTTGGTGAGAGTACATCCATTCTGCAGGAGGTTCTCTGTTGGTTTAGCATGAAAGCTTTGGGTATGGGATCTGATTTCCTCCAAAGCTGCTGCACTTATTATATTATTTAAAACCATAGCAATGTAGGAAGACCCCTACCGGATAAGGCCGAAGGTATTCCTATTATATCTGCACATGGAGGCCAGTAGCCCAACCACAGACCAATTTTCCCCCATGGATGTCTATGTTTGGAAGCCACCTAAACTAATAACCATCATCCTGCACTGCAGCCATGAAGTTCTTTCTTTTCTGTGTCTCAGACCCGCTGACCATCAGTTTCATGCACTCATTGTGAGTTCTAGTGTTAGGAGACAGAGAGAGAAATCCCTTTTAATCTACTTTCTCCACACCGGTCAAGGTTTTCTAAGCGTCCATCATGTCTTCTACTCGCGGCTCAGTTGTGGGCGATGCTGAGAGTTTTGTGAATGGAGCTTAATATGGATCGGGACCTTGGCGTGGAGGAAGAGCAGGTTGAGTCTTTCCCCATGCACCCTTTTCCCGACCTGAAACGGCATCGGGGACTTGCTGCTGGCCCCGTTGGGGTAAACACACAAAAACCCGCATCAGTACTTTTTGGCTTGCCCCAGCATTAGCAAATTGCCTGGGTCATCTTCAAATTGGGAAGCTGGCGTGGGCGAAAGGTTCAGTCCTCCTCCCCACCCAGCGCCACAGTCCCAACTCAAATTGGGATCCTGCTTGCCTGAGTTCTGGAAAGCCTTCTTCAAACAGAATTCCCTGTGTTGTGTTTCACTGATGCTTTAGGGGCAAACCAGAGGTGTGCCAGGCATTCTAAGCATGGAGCTTGCAGTGATTTTAAGCTCGGTTCTCAGATGTGCAGGGTGTAGTCCTTAGATTTTTGACCAAGCAAAAAAAGCCAAGGGAAGGTACTCCAACCCCTTGATTATGTTAGGCATTGTTTTTGGAAAGAAAAAGCCACACAGGAAACCTTCTTTGTGTTGTGTTTCACTGATGCTTTAGGGACATACCAGAGGTGTGCCAGGCATTCTAAGCATGGAGCTTGCAGTGATTTTAAGCTCGGTTCTCAGATGTGCAGGGTGTAGTCCTTAGATTTTTGACCAAGCAAAAAAAGCCAAGGGAAGGTACTCCAACCCCTTGATTATGTTAGGCATTGTTTGATGTCTTATTCCCTTCATTACGATACTGTTTTTGAGATGGGGTGGATGGGGATAGAGTATTACGAGCACAGCTTCAGCCAGACTGCAGACTGACAGAAACTCAAAGGCCGGCCATTTTTAATTTTTGTTATCATAGAATTTGTCCTTGTCGCCGATGCTGCACGTTGTGTTGAAAGAGCTGCCACAAGCCAGAGATCTTTTCCCGGGATATCTGGGTATTGTTCATGATTTCCATTTCTGTTTCTTTTCCCCCTCATAGGCGAGTGCCTGTGCTATGAAGGTTACATGAAGGACCCTGTGCACAAACACCTCTGCATCAGGAACGAGTGGGGCACAAACCAAGGGTAGGTGACTGTGATGGACAGTAAATGTTTGATGGTCTGAGACCCTTGAGTGGCAGGGGATTAAAATGGAATTCTTCAGTTGAGCGTCAATTAGGAGTGACAGTGAAGAACTAACAGTTGACTGGTAAGGAAAGCTGAGGGAGTGAGAGGATCAAGAAGGATTCCTATTCAAGCTTGAGGGAAATAGCTCCTAGAGAAGGGGGGTAATCCCTATCCAGTCTAAAGGAAATAGCTCCTAAAAGGAGGGGGTGATCCTTAGCCTGTGGATAGGGAAGGAAATTGGAACTGGTTTGAATGTTCCTGCCTTCACCAACTTAAGTGTCTGTGGGACAAAGAAGCTTATATTTGTGTATTTAAGCAGAGACTGCCAGGAAATCTCTGTCCTCAAGTTTTAGAGACCTGTTTGAATAACAGAAGCAGTTACTTGTTTATGACAAATTATCTGGCATTTATTTTTATACAGAGTTACCTCATTCATGTTGCCTGTTCATCTTATAAGTTCTAAACTTGATTCATACCTGACCATTTCCCCTCAAAGTTTGTTATTTCGAATTACTATCAGCCTCTCATGTGCCATTTTCTAAACACGATATAAGAAGGATTTTAGTCCCTCCCCTCAGTTCCCTAGGCCGCATCAACATCTAACAATATACATTCGATTGACTAGGTGGGACAGCCAGACCAAACACAAAGAAGAAGAAAAAGGGAAAAAGGGGTTGCTCAGCCAAAAGAAGATAAAAGGAAATCCTGTGAGGGAGGGCAAAATCATCATAGTGACACTTTCAGATTTTCAGGATCGTTGTGTGACTTGAGTGGAGAGGATCGGTCTGATATTTCAGAGGCTGAGACAACCAGTAAAGGACACACAATCCTGTATCTGAGGATGATTTCTAGGAGGCTTGATCTTTGATTCAAACAGCGTGCAGGTACCGTGGCAAAAAAAAAGCCGATAAGAGGCAGGGACACAGAGCAAAAAGTAAGGCATGAAAGATATTAGAAGAAGAAGAAGAAGAGATTGGATTTATCCCCCGCCCTTCACTACCCAAAGGTGTCTCAGAGCGGCTTACAAACTCCTTTTCCCTTCCCCTCCCCACAACAGACACCCTGTGAGGTAGGTGGGGCTGAGAGAGCTCTTGACAGAAACTGCTCTTTTTTCAAGAACAGCTCTTATCAGAGCTACGGCTTGCCCAAGGTCATCCAGCCAGGTGCAAGTGGAGGAGTGGGGAATCAAACGTGGTTCTCCCAGATTAGAGTCTGCGCACTTCACCACTACACCAAACTGGCTAGGGTTAGAAAGAAACCAGAGTGAGTCCAGAGAGCTGGGACAGGAACCCAGTGGGAAGGACCCAGAACAATCAAGAGAGGGGGGGGGGGTCCAGCCAGGCTGGAAGATAGCCTGATGCTGATAAAAGTTAACCTTCCGATAGTTCCAGGTCTGTGAAGGCACAGTAGAAAAGAGAGACTCCCGCACAAGGCAGACTGGGACCTGTCCCTCCTGCCCTTTGAAGCCTTCCTCAATAATTCTTAAGAGGGCAGTGTAGAAGAGGAACTCTGTACATGCTCAGAGGCGCTTCTCTTTCTGAACATTTGTTATTCTCATCATTCTCATAATGTATTGCAGAACTCAATCTTGGTATAGAAATCAGTTTTTGGGGTAGAGCTCTAGCGCGCCCAAGCACAAATTCAGTACTTTTTTTTTAAACTTTATTGTATTTAAAAACCAAATACATGCATAGCCGTAACCAAATACATGACTAACGGAAAAAACATTAACAGTAATTTTAAAGCATGGAAACAGGTATTGAAACATATAACATTGAACAGTTATTAGGACAGTAGTACAACCTGTAGTAGCTAGCATTGAGGGAGAAAGTGTGTAACATATGTAGCTTTTATGGCTGATATTAATATACAACATTAATTGCTTCAAGTATATGCTCAAATTCCTTATGTGAGGCGAAGTATTCAAGAACCGGAAACCAAATTTTAACAAAATTTGAATTATATAGATCAGTATCTCTTGGAGAATCCGCTAGCTTGTCCATTATACAATATTCCTGTATTTTTAAGAACCAATCAGATATAGTGGGTCTTTTGTTCTTTTTCCAAAATGTAGCTATAACTGCACGGGCAGCTGCACAAAATATTTCTATTAATTCAAACTTATGTCCATATTGTTTAGCAGCTGGCCAGTAGTTTAATATTAAAGATTCCATTTCCATCAGGATCTCCAGGTTAGTTATATCACACATTCAGTACTGTAGATGCAACCTTGGGTGATGGGGTCCAGAGGTGAACAGATCTTCAGAACTGCCCCGCTCAGGCTTTACTCTAGAATCCCATCCTGACTACAGAATTTATGGAATCAGATAGCAGCTAGACAAAAACACTGTGTCGTAATAGGTGATTTTAACTACCCACACATTGATTGGGTCAATATGTGTTCTAGTCGAGAGAAAGAGATTGAGTTTCTAGACACTCTAAATGACTGTGCTATGGAGCAGATGGTCATGGAACCTACCAGGGGAGAGGCGATCCTTGATTTGGTCCTAAGTAACACTCAAGACCTGGTGAGAGATGTAAAAGTGATTGCACCACTTGGAAACAGTGGTCAGGATCTCCAGGTTAGTTATATCACAAATTCAGTACTGTAGATGCAACCTTGGGTGACGGGGTCCAGAGGTGAACAGATCTTCAGAACTGCCCTGCTCAGGCTTTACTCTAGAATCCCGTCCTAACTACAGAATTTATGGAATCAGATCTCTCTTCTCTTGCGTTTGGTAATTGCCTTGTGATGCCCGAACTTGTTTGTGAGGAATTTGTTTAAGCCTGTCCACTGATCAAAATTCCAAGGGGTTCTATTTCTGAAGACCAGCACTGCTAGTCCTTTGCCCATGTAGAGAGCGAAATATATGGTCACTTCTCTTATTGCCATAAGTGTTCTAAATGTAATATGTGCTTGCTTCATGTAGACCTATGTGCGTCTGTGTACATGACCACACTGCCACCTAGTGTTCAGGGGCAACCTGTACAGACATCAAGGCATTTGGATACACAGCTTGAACATGGCCTGGAGATCTTTCTTCTGTGTTTAAATGCCTTCATACAGTGTGCAAGGAGTTCTTCATTTCGTTTACTTTTCTACAGAAGTAGAGCAGGGTATGTAAAATCTACATAGCTACAGCAGTACTTAGCCATGAAAGCCATTTGAACTCCCCCCCCATATGAGGTTGGCGCTGCGGTGGCTCAAGTGGTTAAGATGCTGAACTGCAGGCTGTGGAAGGTCGGTAGTTCAGCAGTGCAAGACCCGAGTTGCCGCGTGACGGAGTGAGCTCCCGTCTCTAGTTCCAGCTCCTGCCAACCTAGCAGTTTGAACGCAAGACATTGCAAGTAGATAAATAGGTACCACTTCAGTGGGAAGGTAACAGCATTCCGTGCGCCTTGACCACAGAAACATCTTCAGACAGCGCTGGCTCTTCGGCTTGGAAACGGAGATGAGCACCGCAACCCTAGAGTCGGACTCGACTGGCTTTCAAGCAAGGGAACCTTTACCTTTACCATATGAGGTTGGTAATCAAGAACAATCAGAATCAGTGTTCAAAATGGCAACTCATAGAGCAGCAACATTCACAAGAGCGGCCCCGAAAAGTGAGAAATGGGTGCCTTGTGCCCTGTGCCTCTAATATTCCCTGTCTAAGTGAGGGACACAGTGAACACGTGACGCTGCCTTATACTGACTTGGACCTGGGCCATCAAGATCAGTATTTTCTACTCAGACTGGCAGTGGGTCTCCAGAGTGTTGGGCAAAGGTCACATCCCCTACTGCCTGATCCCTTTAACTGGAGACGCTGGGGATTGAACCGGGGACCTTCTGCGTACGTAGCAAATGCGCTACCACTGAGCCGCAGCCCCTCCCCAACCGTGGAATCCTATTGGCTCCCAAGGGGACCGCTGAAGGAAAGGGGATGAGGTGGGAGGAACTGAGGTTGCTTCCTCTGCCTTCAAGCACTGGAGGCACCGGCAAGATCTGAGGAGGAGCCTAGCTCTGTGCAAGAGCATCTCTTTTGCTTAAAGAGCCCCCGCCCCATTCCAACCCAATCCCCGGTATCTCCAGTGACAAAATATCTCTGGAAAAGACCTCTGCCGTGAAGCTGAAGTCAGTCAGAGCAGACAGTGCCGGGGACAGATGGGCAGCAGCTGCGTCTCTTCGTCTCTCCCTCACAACCTGGCAAACTGTACGAGGTCAGGGAAGCGGCAGCCATTGGAGGCTTTTCAAATGGGGCCAGAAGCCACAGGGAAGACCGCAGGAGGGAATGAAGGTCAAGGAAAGGGAGAGCGGGGGGAAGAAAGAGGGCAGAACGACACGAGTCCAGGACTGAACACTGCACAGAGAGAGAAGCAGAGGAGGTTTCAAAGCAAGTTTTGCCTGGAAAGCTCGCTGTTAAGGCTTGGGTTCATTCTGCAAGGCAAGGGTGGATTGAGGTAGCAGGACGGCCTCGGAGGAAATGGGGGTGCACTGGCAGCACGCCTGGGGCCACTCAGTTCAGACCTCCAGCCAGTGGTGCTGAAAACGCTTGCCGAAGACAGACGAGCTTAGCCCTGTCTTTGTTGCCATTCCAAAAGAGCCAGGATGCCACTAGGTTGCTGTTACATAGAGCTGCCTCGGGAGGCTTTGCCTACCTGTGTTGATTAGTGAAGTCCAGATCTGATGTATCGATTGGCTGATGCAGGGGCATGAAATGCAGTGAGCGTGTCTTGCTGAGTTGTGTAAAAGCACTCCTCATGCTGAAAATGCAGTGCGGGCAAGCCCTCTCCCCCAAACCACGGAAACCATGAGATCTACTGCAGATAATTTTTTAAAATACAGATAAGAATTGAAACATAAGAATGTAAGAAGAGCCCTGCTGGATCAGATCAATGGTCCATCCAGTCCAGCATCCTGTCTCATACTGTGGTCAACCAGTTCCTCTGGAGAGTCAGCAACAGGGCACAGAGGCCAA